CCTGTCGCTCGGCCAGTGCCGTTGACGCCTTAATGATAAGCGCTTGATGGTCAGATTCTTCAGTCATCACATGTTGAACCTCAACCTATGGGAATAACTGAGCAAAGTCCGCATTACACGTCGCCCGGTCAAGCCTCACCTGAATGTTCTCTTCCGCATCTCGTTTATTATCCCAAGTGAAGGGGTACCCCGTGAACCCCAGGTCTGCAAGTCCGTGGTCGGACATGCAGTCCTCAAATAGCGCCATCTGATTCAAGCTCCTCGGTTGCCACCTTGTTGTTCATCTTGTCTTAGGGTCTCGTTAAAGTCACCCGCGCAAAGCCACGGGAGGTCGTCTTGAGTACGAAGATAACAGAGCACTTCCCAAGTTTTAGTTCTCTTCTCAACGCATGGTTCCCCATAGATTCCAGTGAACCTAAATGGGGCACCATCTATTTCGATCTTTGCATCAATGTAGTATTGGCACCACAACCTCACTGTAACGTTCACATGATCCCTCCACCACAGAGCTAGTCCACCACTCTTGCCCTTGCAGTCTACAGCCCAAACTCCATTTTAGTCCCTCCATCGCACCAACCCTTTTTTATTTCTGATAAAAACACCACCTCTGGGTTGTATGACCTCACCAGGTCCCGTAATTCGCCCACTGCTGAGTCCAACCCCAACCCTCGACAGTTCCAGGCTAGGATGATCATTGTTCTCGGCGGCCCCGCGCCCTGGCAGGGTCCGCTGTTACCTCGTCATGTTCTGAAATACGCTCAAAGACAGAAGTTGTCTTCTGTCTAGTATCCCGCATGAAATTGTCGTGACCTTCTTGGTTGTCACCCACCTCTTTAGCCACCCATATCTATCGCGGCCGCCTCTTCCTCATGTTTGGGCTGACATTGGAGCAGTTGCCCCTATCTCTCTTCTCCTCATGGTCCTGCCGAGGCTTCCTAACGTAGTATCCCCTTCTTCTCTCTCCAAAGTAGTGGGGCTTATATGCATACACCCCATCCATATCTCTGTTAGCAGCTCCACGTTCCCTATGTCCTCTTGCCTCATAATGCATTTGTTCATACTCCCTTTGTTTTTGTTGGGCCTTGAGTTGTTCCCTTAGATCCCTCTCCTTCTTTCTCTCAATTTCATGCCTGAGATCTCTTTCTTCTGGCCACTCGCCCCTGAAGCGATATTTCGAAGGGCTATTAACCTCCCCTTGGCCCTTGTTCCGCTGCCCACCAGTGTGGGAGCTCTTCGGCCGGTCAAACTCAGTGTTCATATTGCGTTTTGTTGGAACATCTTTACTCCTGACAAAGCTTTCTTGTTCCCTACCATCCCCCCCTCCCCCGACTGAGGGCTCACAAAGTTGTTGCTGCTATTTTGTCTTCCCCCCTTTTGTCTCATTCTTGGAGCCAGTGCTC